CACAAGTATACATACACACACACACACACACACACACACACACACACACACACACCATATATATGGTATCTGTTATGTGTACGTCACTGACATTCTGGACAGTATAATTTGAGAGTGTGTGTGTGTGTGTGTGTGTGTGTGTTGAGTGGCAGAGGTGAGCAAGAAAATAAAGACAAAACCTAATCTGAAATGGAGCCTCAATTCCATTTCACCTAAAATATTGCAGTTAATTAATAATCAAGTATTTTGTTAAGTTTAAAATGGTTCTATTCAAAACTGATTCGATATTGGACTTCTCATGTAACCTATGGCTTAATTCACTATATTCAATTTTGACTACTATATTCTGATTTTCTAATTTGGGCATGAACATTTTTTTTTAAGTTATTTCCCTATATATCAAAGTCAATGTTAAAACCTCAAGTTTTCCTTTAAAATGTTTTTAACTTTAATTTTTATGAGTCAAACATTGCATTAACTGGGCATTAGAACAAGAGGGACATGAGAAAGGAAATGCCCAGCAAGACTTACTTTCTCTCACTTGCATTTACTTAACTGTGTTTGATGAATTTAGTGTCTTTGGTGGTTGCATGGTAGTGTTTTTTTTTTAATTGAAATATAATTGACATCAGTAAAATTTTTATTAAAGAAACAGAAAAGGAATGGTGTCCACTTTAGTCCAGTTACAGCACTTCCACTCAGCATGTCAAGGAGTTAATATTGGTTTTATGACCTCCCCTACCCAAGGCTTCATTACTTTTTGCTTTTAAGAAGAATCTTAGTTTTCAAAAGGCGTTTGGTAAACTCATAGTGTGGAGGGAATAGTAAAGAGTACAGAGATTCAGAGGAAGCTGTTGTAATTCCAAGCACACCCCAAGTTATAGGACTAGTTCATGTCTTAATTATATAGCATTTCCATGTACCACACTGTGGTATTAATAGGGTCAGAATTACCCTTTGCTGTATTACCAGTGTCTTTTCTTAAATATTCAGTTATGTGCTTCCAGTCTTGGGATCATTGTGTTTTCTTTTCCTCAATGTATTTTGGGAAAAGCTTCTTTAAGACTTGTGCATATTATTGATTGAAGGCCAATAAAAGTACTTTCAAGTGTCTCCTATGTGCAGAGTATTCTCCTTTACTGCAGGAGACTGGAGATTGAATGAGATTTAATTTGTGTTCTTGTTGAAAGTGACTATCTTGGGGCTACATTTTGGACTCCTCTCTTAGTGAGTGCTACTGTACTCATTAATTAATACCAGATCCCTACCTAGTAAGACCAGATCCTTACCCTTTCTACCTAGGAACTCATCTTCTCTCTCCATCCCAGTGACTTTTTTTTTTCTGTAAGAGGAATTTGTATCTGAATATAGGCATCCCTATCTAATCAAAGCAAGTAGAAAGAACTTTCATGCTCTGTATATTCTTATATAATGAGTTCTAATACAATATATATTTTTGTTTATGATTGATTATTTCTTTTTTCTGGAGATGAATATTCACAATAAGTCTGTTTCTAGAAAAACCATCTCTGTCTCTGGAGAGCACAAAATTGGTTCCCTCATAGATGCCTCCTTCCACTTACTACATACACCTTGGACACTGCTTCCTCTACTAGGGGTCCTTCTCCTATTTCCAGCACTTCCTGGCTTTCCTCCCATTTTAGGATCCTGTTCTCTTCATCTGACAATTGGTAGGCATGAGTTCTTTCTGTCTCTTCCATCTTCCCTTTCTTTTTGCCCTTTTAATTTTGCTGATCCAAATAAACTTGCAAGTTGCTGTTAACCCGAGGTCTTTGTATCTCCTCATGAGGACAGTGTTTTATGACAATTAATGGTTTGGATCGACTGATTCCAGAGTCCAGCAATAGGTCTTTGTTAAGCTGCCTTTTGTCTACTCTGTAGAGACTGAACCTAACCTCTTGAGGGACAGGATCAGTACTCTCTAAAGAATAGGTCTGTCTTCTTTCTCTCCTCTCGCTTTTCCTCTTTCTGCCCTTGTAATACTGTGTGAGTTTGTTAGAAAATCTCCAACCCCACTACCATGAGAGTGAATGAGCAGACTTTCCAAAGCCTGTTCTTCCCAGTTCTTCCCATCCCCACTTCAAGTGTTTTGCATATGATATTTAGGACAATTATTAAACAAAAATGAAATAGATTAAGAAATGAGCATAAAAGAATCAATTCTCTTGAACTGTGGTTGCATAATGGAAATCGACTACCATGAATGAACCCATGTACTGAAGTTATGAACAGCAGAGCTAATGCACTGCCATGAGTTCATCTTTATTATTGCATTACACCTGAATCAATTGATAAAGTAGCCTTTTTTTTTTAAGCAAGGGATAGCTCTTAATTGAATAAAAGTCAATGTAATTATATTAGCAGAGGCCAACAGTACTGCTGACAGCGGAAAAGGGACACTCTTGAACGGAGTGCCAGAGCTAGTCTACACATTTCTGCACATCGTTTGGTTGACAGATATTGAGGGCTGGTACATCATCTAATTAGATTACAGATTTCTATTGCTGTAAGTGAGAAATGAAGAGAAACTTCTCTTCCTGGTAACATATCAGTAGAGATGTGTAATTCACAAGTCATCTTAGGAAAGAAGTGTCCATCTGGGTGATCAGTGTGTCCTTTTGTTAATGTTAATTTATTCTTATTCAGTGTGTCTGGATGTAACTGCTGTGTGTCTGGCTGCTGTTTTCGCAGCAGTGAATCTAGGAAGTGGTAACTGCAGATGTGTGAGAAGCAACAGAGTTCTAGATTACAATCATCGCAAAATGTGTGCTTGTGAAATTAAAGTGGGGAGGGTGTTAAAAATAATAAGCAGGGGTAGGATTTCATGGGCCACTTATGGTTGGCAGATTGTTTTATCGACAGGGTTATTTTACGTAGTGTAACTCTGTTTCCACATTCTTACAACTCTGGGGGGTGTCACACCCGCATGTCAGGGTAGGCATTTCCTGCACTTTGCTTATTTGGCACCCTGCACTTGGAGTCATCTGCCATCTGACACCAAGGAAACGGGAGCAACAGTGTCAGAGCAGGGACTGGGGGGACAGCTTCTGTTTATCATTCACGTATTTGCACACTGCATGCATCTGAGTAGAACTCATAGATGATGATGATGCTGTGAATTTGGTTTATCTCAATTCAATTCATGATTTTTGGATGGTACAGCTGATCTGAAAATCATCAAGACCGCATATGAGATGATCGCTTATGACAGAAATGATTTTGTGATCAGAACATTTTAAATCCCTATTTTATTGTGTAAGTTTTTTTAAACCAGATGTCTAGAATGTGAATTTGTTTTCTCTCTCTCTCTCTTTCTCTCTCTTTTTCTCTGTCTCTCATTCTTGCTTTCTTTTGTGATCGATTTAGCAAAAGATTAGAAAGCTGATCTTATTATCACAAGGTAAGCTCAGCCTTCCTAAGTGCAGTGTGGAGAGGGCTGCTGCCCCTCTGCCCCTTAACACCCAGAGTGCTAAATATTGTCTTGTGTGGAAAGGTGGAGAAGTCTTTCCTACCTTTCTTGTCTCTGAGGCACATACCTCTCAACCATCTCTAAGAAATTAGCCATGCTTGTCACCAAATGGAGTGACTCATTTTGGTCTTTCATACATTTTAATTATAATCAGGAGGTCTGTTGAATGTTATACTGGCCATTCTAGGTCATTTCTATTATCACAATTACTTCTTCAAGATGGAGAGCTTCCGCCATTCCCGAGAAGCTTTTATGTATCTGTGTATTTACTTATTGGTTTATTTATTTTTTTTTTTTGGAAGGGTAGCCTTCAATTTAGGTACTTGTCAAACATGTGAGAATTGCAGGTGGAGAGAGGTATATGCCCAAGGGCACTTTAAAAATAAATGGGGGGTGTAAATACAAAGGCAATGTTTTCAGAGAGATAATAACATATCAGGCTTTGTAAATCATGACATCCGGATCTATGGATGCTGTGGGACAAATCCTATTTTTTCTTTTTTTTTGCACAAGCAAAGCATTTAGTAGAGTAAAAGTTTTGCTTGTCTTAGAAGTGCAGATTCCAGTTGTTAAAGTAGAGGGACTGTATATTGTGCTTAATTTGGGGGGTATTTATTGTGTGGGTGTTTTTTTTTGTCTCTTTGGGTTTTTTTCTGTTGTTAAGTGTGATGTTTTAAATGGTGGGTGGGTTTTATTTTAAAAAACAATTTCTATTTTTCAGGTTTTGTTTTAAAGGATTACATTTTAAAAGTTGAATTACTTGATGAAAGCATGTTCAACTCTAAAAGGCAGCAGTTTCTGAAAATTAAGTCTATTTTCCTATTAGATAAGTTGAGATCCCACATTATTCTGAGGAAAGGGATTTTGATAGTCTGTAACCCTATTTCAAATTACTAATCTGTAAAACTAAATTTTTCCTACATAAAACTTGAAGTGTAGGAAGGTGAGGGGGAAAGATTTCATTATTTTTTGAAGTTAAATCGAAATTATCTAGACCATTTACTTTTTTTAAAAAATGATCTTTTTTATACCTCTAAATAAAGTGCTACAGGACAAAAAGAGCTTGTTTTGCTTTGTGGGGTTTTTTTTTAGGTGTAAATTCAAATTATTCAGTTTAGACAGCAGAAAGTTTCCATTCTTTTGTCCTATTTAATATATTCTGAAATCTCTGCCATGAGATTCTCTGCAGCTGATGCTGCTACCTAGTAAAGCTAAGAGAACTGTCATTGAGAAAAAGGTGCATGGGCTTGCATTCATCCTACCATTGAAGAATTTTACTCATATAAAAATGATGTTAATGAAAAGTTCCCCTTATTGCACTCCCCACTACCACTTACTCCAAAATCCTGAGGATGTAGGGAAATGTTTGCTTTTATAATGGTGTAATTAGCAATGAATGTGCTTATTTGATGCCTGGTGGAAGCTGAATCAATTTTAAAATGTTCTCCTTTTTCTCACCCCTCCCCACTCCCTCTACACCTACCCCCCCCCTTCCCTCTTGTTTTCCTAGACACAGTGCCAACATAAACCTGCATCGCAAACTGTTGACCAAAGAACTCGATGACATGGGCCTGGACTCAGCGCAGCCCTCTCTTAGCAAGGGCCTCCGGGATGAATTTTTGATGAAGATCTATGGTGCCCAGCACCCCTTGGGGCTCGATGTCAGGGAAGACGCCTCCTCTCCCGCAGGGACTGAAGACTCCCACCTGAACGGGTACGGGAGAGGCATGGCGGAGGACTACATGGTCCTTGACCTGAGCACCACCTCCAGCCTCCAGTCCAGCAGCAGCATCCATTCTTCCCGAGAATCCGACGCAGGCAGCGACGAGGGTATTCTTCTCGACGACATTGACGGGGCGAGTGACAGTGGGGAGTCAGCACACAAGGCCGAAGCCCCTGCCCTCCCTGGCAGTCTAGGGGCTGAAGTTTCAGGATCTCTGATGTTCAACAGCTTGTCCGGGAGCAATGGTGGGATTATGTGCAACATTTGCCACAAAATGTACAGCAACAAGGGGACTCTGAGAGTGCACTACAAAACTGTGCATTTGCGAGAAATGCACAAGTGCAAAGTCCCTGGTTGCAATATGATGTTCTCCTCTGTGCGAAGCCGAAATCGGCACAGTCAGAACCCTAATCTCCACAAAAACATTCCCTTCACTTCAGTAGATTAGTCTCAGAATGGACACTACAAATGCCAGCTCTCACCAGATGGCCTACATGTTTGAACTGCCATAGTCAGTGTGTGCTTGTGTACCTGGGTGTGTGTGTATGTGTGTGTGTGTATACACATGTACGCCTCTGTGTCTACATATACACACACACACACACACACATTTTCTTTTCTTTAGATATAAAAAGATAAACACTAGGTGCTTTTGAAATTGTTTTTCTTTTTCCTTTATAGTTTTGGGAAAGGGGTGGGATCTTTAATTTGGGGGTGAAAACAAAGTACCCTTAAAACACACATACACACACACACATAAAGTGTGCAACCGGCCCAAATTCTGACAGAATAAGAATTCTTAGTCCTCTGCAAAGGGACAGTTTCTTGTACCCATGACTGTTGCCTGCAAAAAAATAAAAGGGAAAAAAGAAAAAAGAAACAAAAAAGGAACTTCTAATAGTTGTCTTTTGTGAACTTTAAGGTTTTGAGAGAATCTTCAATTAAAGCATGGCAGATTCACCTGTAAATATTTAGCCTTGAGAGGCCAATGATGTAAAGCAATTGTATTGATGGTTGTTTAACTCTTTTGTTTAATTTTTACAGTTACATCCAGCTGTTAGATATGCAGGAAAAAAAATAGTTTGCTGGCTAGCTCTTTTCATTTATGTTAGCATCGATGCACATTTCTTTAAAAAAAAAAAAACAACAAAAAAACCATGGTCTTGTTTTTACTACCTGCTAGATAGAGTGATAAGGAGGTGCTGGCATGCTTTACAGCACAGATCTGATTTTTTAAAATGTCCTGTACTAGTACATAAACCCAGTCATGCACTTTTTTTCATACACTACAAGGGGACGTGTAATATCCATGCTTCTTTTTTATCCTTAAACTATTGCCATACTTCAAGTAAGTGTCTTTTTTAAAAAAATTCACTTGTATAAAAATGGTCTGGTCAGTATAGGGCACAAATGCCAAACAAAAGTATTAGTGTTAACACAAAACTGCCAACTTTGCACAAGTTTCCAGGAAAGAAAATACAATTAGTCACTCAACATAACCACAGGCCAATTTGTCGGCCACCAGAAAACTGCTTTAAAAAAAAAAAAAAAAACAACACTTGGTGATTCTTTCAAGTGCCGAATGTTATTAGAATCAACATTGCATCCTTCTTGCTTATATGTTAAGTTACATAAAAGGAAAACAAAATTATGTGGTGTGAAACAGCCAAGGCATTTATTCTTCAGAGGCAGGATAATATTTCAGGATACAAAAGCCCAAATTACTCACTATGGAACAAAGCTGAATGCAGTAACAGTGTTGAACACTCATTTGCAGGACCTGCCCCTTCTCCTTTAAAAAGAAAGCAAAAGTCTGAACTGGGTTGGTCTGTTGTATGGCTGTGTAATTTGTTGCAAGTTCTGCAGTAGTCCTATGATTCAGGCCTGTCTGATAGACAAAATCAAAAGACATTTCACAGCAGCAGTACTTGGAAGCTTTGAAAACATGTGCTGAACTTGAATTGAGCAACACTCCTTTCTGAAAAGCCAGACGAAGGGGGGTTTAAAATAGGATCTCTCACTGTTGAGTGTTTTGTGTTTCCCCACATGATTTGTCAGAGAGAAATGAAAGCAAGCCTGAAACCAAGCAATTGAGAGTGAGAAAGAGGGGGAGGCGATTCTCCAAACCTTTTTTGTTTTGTTTTGTTTTGTTTCCGATGTTTACACATGTTGCCTGAGCTGGTTAACCACATGGGCAGCCCTCAGCTACCACAACATACTCACTAAATGATGATATTTACTCAAGTTCAGTCTGCAGCCAAAACCATTAGGATGTGCACTGCAGACTGTGTTTTGTTGTTTTTTTTTTTCCTTTTTTTTTAAGGTGGGGGTGGGAGGGGGGGGAGACAGATAAACAAGGAATATTTTGTCTAACAGTACACAATAATTTAAAAGAGAATGTATTTCTTTTCTGCATTTAGTGGCCTCAAACATTTCTCTCATCAGTCTAAAAGTTAGAAATGCCCCCCTTTGTTTTAACTTTGCATGTTGTTTCCATTTTTCATATGTTTTGTAATTATTTTTTCTATGTTCACATCAGCATTCACTTCCGTTAAATTTGCCAAAGGAAACTGTTAATATGTTTCTGTTGTTATTATTATTCCTGTAGGATTTATTGTACCTCACAGTATTTATTGTTTCCAAAAATAAGCATCATTAGTTGAGGATTCAGTATTTTTATTTGTAAAAATTTCAGAAACAATAGATTCTTAAAGATAAGCTAGACTTGTCTAGAAGCTTCATCTTCTCATCTCCTTCAGAGGATACTATGGGGTTCATTTAATTCACTTTGTTCTCCAGTGAGGAAAGACCAAAAGTATTTGCAGTACAAAAGAAACCATATCAAACACTATGTCTGTTAAATGACAAATGTTTACGGTAAAAAGCTGAGGAATTAGTAATAACCATTTTTGTTTTCTTGTACCTTTGAATTCCCCAAAGTCTTAATTGCTTTATTTTGGTGTTGTGTTAAATTGAATAGACAGAGATGTTTTCCTTTGTTTTATACCATATAAGACTATGTACAGTATGTTTGTGAAAAACTGAACTAGAATAATGAAAGTTTGTTTGCAAACATTTTGGTCCTCTTAGCGTTCTCTGTGTTGTGCTGTTGCCCCATTACGAAATGATTCAATTCAAAAAGGGTGGAAAAAAAATGTTTTTAGTATCCCAACAAAAGATCATGGAAACACTAGCTGTTGGACTGTGGTAGGCTGAATTACACTTAGCTTTATGAAAATAACACATTTTTATTTCAGTGATTTTTAAAAATTACACTGTTGGTTGAGATATTAGAACTCATCTTGTACAGAATCAGTGTTTAGTCTGCTTAATGTCAACTAAAAGGTCAAATAGTCCTAGTGAGTGAATTCCATAGCTGTCAGCAGGTCACATCAGTAGATGAACCAGGCTTAGAACAAATGTTTGTTACTTGCCACAAACTGGGCTAATGCAGAGAGCCAGTTGGAACAGTCCAGAAGTAATGAGATTCTCAAACTAGAATTTCCCTTGCTTGGAAATTTGAATGTGTTCACCTGCATTTTGTCAGAGAAATGGCAGTGAGTCCTGGGCAACTGGCTCTTTTTAAGTATCTCCCCTATTTGCTACTACTTTTGTGCCTCAAGTGCCCAGATGTTATGGTGGCCTTCTAAATGGGTGAATAACACTTTCCAATATAAAGCCTATTATTGCTTAAAAGGGATGGGGGAGTGGATGGAAGCGGTACATGAAATGTAAAATTATGAACTGCACAGAGGTTCCCGTCCCAAAGTGTTGCCTGTTCTTGGGTGTGCGCCCGAGTGCAATGTTTGGCTTAACTGTAAACCTAGTTAAGATGGTGACCCCAAGGCTTACTTGCAAACAGGAAGGAGAAAGCATTTTAATCACTGGGCCCATCATCTTTGTCTGCTCCTACTTGTTTGTTTCTTCATAGGAGTTTTCTTTTGTGAAACTGTTTCTTTCGAGCTGCATCCATCCTGTGCTGGCTGAAAATTAACAGCGATGCAGATTTTCATCGAAGCAGCTTTTTCCCATTTGATTAATTTTAACCACAGTTTTGTCACAGGTAGAAAATGAGGCAGTATTATTAATGTGCATGTTCACTAGCTGATGTTGAAACTTACTGTTTTGATCATTCTAAACTATGTTTTTGTACATATCAGAAAGGCTTAGTCTGCTTTAGGGAATATCTGCATGCTTATGGAGGGGGATGACAAAGAGCAAGAGAAAGGATAGATAATAAGTAATTTGGTTTTTAAAATGTGATTAAAAAGCTTGACATTCTTTGTTCTGCTATGAATTGTATTGAGATAAGTGAACCCAGTGTAACGCATCTCAGATCTTAGTCTAGCTGTCCAATTCAGCCTGATGGCTTTTGAAGGTATGAAGGTATTAATGTTTTCCTTCTCAACCTGACAAACATCTTTTTTGAAAACATATTTAGCACAATGGTGCCACTGTCCTTGTAGTGTGATTTCTTTGGTCATGAATTTCCAGGCCCTGCCAATAAGAGGAGAAAGACACTTAACTGGTTAATAGCCCTGTTAGTGTATACATTGCTCTTAAAAAAGAGCAGTTCTAAGAATAGGCTGTTCTGGAGGCATTCTCCCCATTTTACTCAGGAGAACCCATGCCCTAGAGTGCCACCAAATAAAAAGTGACCTTTTGTTCCCCTTCCCATGTACACACCCCAGATATGTACCAAACAAACGGGAAAATGAGAACGGGGGCCATTAAAACATAAAGAAGCCAGTAATCAGATTGAGGTGGACACACTACTTACTGCTAAATGTTGACCTGAGCAGTCCCAACTTGTACCTGGTGTGTTGGTGTTGGATTAGATTGGCTGTTAACAGAGTAAATAAAACTCAACTGTAATAAGACACACTAATCTATCATAAACCAGTCATCCGGAAGAACCTTTCTTTTATCCTATGGACACACCCTTTTTCTTAACTTTTAAGCAATTAGAACAAATGCCATTTTAAAAAAAACTATTCGAATTAGAGGATGTTGCTGTTTCTTCCCATTCTTTGATTTTTAATGGAAGGGGTCTAAGTATGTAAGGAGGGCAATAAAAGGCAGGTACCAAAAAAGACTGGTGGGAATGAGTTTTTCCAAAAGCAGAGCAAGGGATACTGAGTAGGGGATAGGAACCTTCCCTGGTTGAGCGTAGCTGGGAAAGAAAATAATGAACTGGAAGTGTTTGTTCAAAAGAAAAGTCTGGTACAATTTTTCCCAGCAGTGGGTGAGAGCATCTCGATGCACTGCCCCACAGAACCCCCTGTGACAGGTGCATCACTGCACCCCAGTCTGAGGAAGAGGGGAAAGCGAAGAAAACTTGTGGAATAACTGAGGATCCTTATGGGTCAGAAGAGCCAAGGGCAGCTGTGGGGTTTTTTTGTTTGTTTGTTTGTGGTTTTGTTTTTGGGTGGGAAGTGATGCTGGAGT